CCCAGATGGCGAAAACATTCCACGCAATCACTGCCAGGTCACGAAACATTTTAACATGCTCCTTCCCCACCATAACACCTCAAAAGGATCCTCCTCAGGCTTCAAAGTTTCATCGCTGGAGTCCTCCATGTCAGTGACGAATGTATAACTTCAACTTATATCACTGACTTTCAAAATAAAAGAACTGCGGCTTGATAAGTGATTTAGATGTCAAAATATTCCACATACACTGCACATCTTTTTAATTTGTTTTATTCTCAAAAATAAATATATATTTATGTTCTCACCTGCTGCCCAGCCACATGTAGGTTATTTTTACCTGTGCCCCTGAATTTATGTATATTCATATTTTTACCCATTACACAGCTTTTTGCGGGTTACCCTTTGGGTACCCGTGCACACCCAACCTGGTACAGGACTCTGCCTCATCATAACCATTCTAGTTCAGTATATGCATGAATGGTGCATGAGAACAGCCTGTAATGTTTCATAACCCTGTAGATTTTTACAAACAAATACTGGTGGGAAAAAACTAAATATATTGTAAGTGATATCATGTTCAGTTTCCACAGTTTGAGATAAAAATCCAGGCTGATTTATGGTTGCGGTGAGACAGGCTTGCAGTGGCAGTTGTGTAGTGTAAAGAACACAAAACAAGAGCTTGAGAGAAATGTTCAAACCCTGCCTTTTTATTCTCACCTCCGAACATCTGGAATACCACTGCCTGAATCAGGTGTTGTTGTCGATTGACAGCTTTTGAAAGCTACAAAACTTATCCCCAACTCCAGCACCAGAGAGGTGTTTGGGGAGGGGTTCTGCCATCTGACAAGCCCTTCGTCTGAAGCCCACTGAGGCCTTTTAAGGTCAGCCAAGAATCCACAGTGTCATCCAATACGGATCCAATAAAACTTCTGTTTTATTTTTAACCAGCTAATGACTCCAACAATCTGTTAATCATCGCCACGTCCTCCTTTCCACGTCATCCGTTTTAATTGAGCGGTCGCGGTGATACTGTTAATGAAGACATGTTAAGACATCCGCTGATGTGCCCGTCTATCACGTCTAAATCTGTCAGCCCACAGAAGCCGTGTACGAGCCAACCGCACTCGCTTTTACTACATTCTTTTACAGCCGTCGAGATTTTACATCCGTGTCCAGTTGCTTCTCGTGTCTATAGGAGGGGGATATAACTCAGGATGTGTTCACCCATATAGACAGGCAGCAGCACAGAGTTTGGTGCTTCATTAAAAATGTGTTCTCCTGTTTGGAATATTTAAATGTCCAGCATGTTTCCCTCATGTGTGTGCACGCCAGAGCCAGCTGACCTGCTAATAACACTTCCAGCAGAAAATGAAAGCTGATTGTGCTTCACAAGGTGATGGCCCCGAGCTGTTGCCGGAAGCAGGGAGAGCAGAGTAGAGGAAGTGGTGAGTCCAGCCGGAGGTGGTGGGGGTTGGGGTGGACACGCCTGGCTGGCCGAGGCGGCGGCAGTGTCGCTCACACCGTTGCCCTCCCGCCACCGGTGTCAGCTCTGATGACTTCAGCGTGTGCCCTTATGAGCTCACCTTGCTAGGAGAGACACAGGAAGTGGGATTAGAGCAGTGACAGTGTCAGGGGGATAAAACTGTGTCATACCTGCACTGGAGGGGGGTTTCATCTATTAATGTGTGTGTGGTCACACGCATGCAGCTGCTAATACCTCGGGGTTATCTCTTTCACCTGTGTTTGTGGAGCAGATTCTCTGTCCATGCTGGCTGACCAGTGACGGCAGAAATAAGTCACTAAAAGGTCTTAAAGAGCAGAGAAAGCTGCCGTGTGACAAAACACTTTCAGGTTCATCCAGCCTACATGATGTGTGATTGGCTACGAGCCGTGTGACGCTCTGACAACTACGTTTGTGAAAGTGAATTTTGCATATATGAGTGGGAGTGAAACCGTACCTGGTGCGTTCTGAGGTGTTCTGCTGCCACAAATGGCAACTTGTTCAACACCAAGATGATCAAAGTCATCTATATTTATATCTCACTGTTATTTTAATCATAGAGAATTATTCTCAGTTCAACAGTAAGACCAGTTTAAACATATTTATTGCTTGTGTCAGGAACATTTCAAGCCTTAAAAAGGTACATTCTGGTATTTTTCTGCCTGGATCTTTTTCTCATGTCTATTAACCATGGTGCTTTGTACCAAGGCAGTGTTTATAGCATATATACTGCGGGGACACATACTCCCAAATATTCAGATACAACATATTCTCCCAGCTCATCACAATTCCCTGCTTGTTCAGTGGACTTTTGGCATCTACATATGATGCGCTGCATATCCTGTGTGTGTCTGTCGCACGTTCTGGAACGCTGTTTCAATTTCCACCTTTTCAAGACACACTTTCGTTTTCACAGGAAATAAACAGTTAATGCTGGTTAGAGTCATAGTCTCCTTCAAAATAAACACCTCATATTTACGTTTATTTCCTTGTGCAACAAACACACATGGCTCAACATTGACATGGGGAGTGAACACTAAGCTCACGAGTGAAAGTCCTGTGTCTGTTGGACCACCACTCCCACCCACCGTATAAGGAACTTTCCAGCTCCTTAAGTTATGTTGTTCTCCAGCTGTGTTTCAAACTGATAAATCTTACCACCATGAAAGGATAGCTTTTCTCGTTAGTGTCTGATATGGAAATTACTGACCTAGTGGCGGTAAAATTAACATTGGTAAAACACCTCGTATTACTGTATATTTTACGTTTAGTTTACTTTGTGCAACAAACGCACATGGCTCAACATTGATGCCTGAAGTGAACACCGGGCTGCTTGGTGAAAGTCAAACTGACACCATACAGCAGCGTATCACACCATTGTTAAAGGATAGCTTTTCTCGATAGTGTCTGATGCGGTAATCACTGATCAAGCGGTGCTATTTGATGACTTCAGAATGAGAACAGGTTGTAAAAAAGGGCCCTGAATAGATAGATAAAAACGGCAATTTCGCCGTCTATTGTGATAGTTTTCGTAAAGTGTTATTTACGTTATGTTTTTCTTAATGGTTAACGTCTCACAATGTTGTGCTAAATTCCTGTCTGAGCTAGCTAGCGTGCATACATTCCTCACATTCTGAGCATATTGCACTTATTGTGCTTTGAGTCAAGTTGGGATCTGTTAAACATTCCCATCAACTGTTGATGGGAAACTTATTTTTGTAACACCAAACCAGTGACACTTCACTTCAGTCATGCATGTAAAGGTAATGTTAATGTCAACAAGTCATTTGGCACCGGAACTAATTTATATATTTTATAAATATTTTTTATTTATATTTTTTTTCATTTGTTTCTGAACCACAACAAACAAGATTTATTATAGTTAAAAAAAAGTTCATTCACATTCACCCAGCAACCAACAATAGTGTTCATGGATGTTTATAACTAATGTTAATGTCTTTATTATGTTATTTGTCAGATAGCGCATGTGAAGTCTGAGTAAAGTCTCAACATTTTCTCTGTGTTGTGGTGCATGTGTCATTTATGTACACAGCAGTCACTTTCATTTTCTAACCCTGTATATGTGCATGGTGTACTGAACTTGCTGATGGATAAATACTATAATAAAATAGGAAATTAGTTTCCAAATTTATTTTATTTTACTTATTTTTCTTGTGGTGGTTGGGAGGTGGTTGACCCAGTGCCCAAATTTCTCCAGCAGATTTTGTCCCCCCAGTGTTGACTAAATGGTTATGGCCCTGCTTTGTATGCATTAAAAAACTTATATGAACCTCTGTTTAACATGTGTATGTCTGTTTTGTTTGCACACGACTTAGACACACACTCCTGTATTGTATTAAGACTATAATCTGACATGAATCTCTGCACAAGGTGGTTATCATTGACAAATAAAAGAAAGCAAGAAATATATTAAGAGTTACTGTAAATGGATTTCACTTTTTCATGATTTGAACACTTTAAGAAATTCAGTAAAAATAAATAAATAAATAAGTTGAGATTGCGCTTTGTTTCCTAAAGAGATATTTATAAATTTATTTTTGGTTCATTTCCATTTGACTTTACGTTCAACAATTGTAATAACCTAATAAGAAAATTTAGGCCATTTAATATTAACCTCAAACACCCTCATATGTCGGTAACAGGCGTATTAAAATCTTAAAAAAAAATCAGTTTGTAATTATGAAATTGAAAATGAAAATCGGGTTGATGACGCAACCTGTCACCTAGATTTCAGCTAAACTAACAGCTGATTTCATGAAAACGCTCTTTAAATACCCTGCGACGTTTTATTTCATTCATTATTTAAAAAATTGTCATATTTTATTATCGAATACGTGTCAAACTGTGTTTGCAGACGCGCTGCGAGGCAGTGAGGAGTCATTTAGCGAAAATAAAAAGCCATAATTAATCAGTTTTCTTAATAATTACAATATAAAGTGATCGGAAAATCTGTCTGAACACAAAGCGCAACATTCTGCTGTGGCGTTAAATTATATCCTAAAATAAATTAAATATATTAAACAAAATTAGTCAGATTATTTGCCTAATTAATTATGGTTTGAATTCATCTAATTGCAGATTAATTTACTGACTCACCAATAAATTATTATAATAAACAACATAATAACATTAATTATTTCTGTGGGCACATGACCCCTTGAGAAAAATGCAGAAAAATATTCCTAATATGGATTTTGCGGCGTTTAATTGTAATTTTACAGCTGATATTTTTTTGCAAATGTTGTGTTTGTATTTTAAATAATATTCCCCTAAAATGTATTTAATCAATTACAGTGCCTGTTTTTTTTTTTTTTTTTTAAAGGGCAGTGTGTGTGTGATTTGTGCTGCGTTAGTGTGTGATGAGTGGGTGGCTCTTTCATATCTGGAGCCTATCAACGTCCTGCCTCTGCATCAGACACTCCTCCAATATGACCACTTGCAAAATGTATATATCATAAGTTAGAAACCTGAGCATGTGTTTGAGTCACTAGGAGAGACTCCACACGTCAAAAAAGACACCTGCTCGGGTAATAAAAAAAAAAGTTTATATTTAAAGTGTTTAATGAGGCGGTGTGAGGGATGTTTTATATTTTACATTCCAGGCTGTGACAGACTGAGACAGCGAGTTTTAAAGTTTGTAGCATGTCAGCGCGCTGTGAGTGACAGGTGAGGAGAACAGTCCGCGCTGTGCCGTTTTGTGATTTCTTTTTATTGTACATGCTCTTACTGACCTGGACGCACGAGCGGAGCCTTATGACATTGCGCACAGACCGGGAGCGGGGCTGCAAATGGGCGGCATAGGTGGCAACCTCTACCTCAGCATGTTGAATGGGACTGAAACGCAAACTTTCGGAAAGAACCCCGACATCAGCAGTCACCTCCACCGCGGCGGCAAGGATCTAGCCGAGTTTAAAATGGGGATTCAGGACGCGAGGTTTTACTACCCGGACTCTGTTCCGAGCGGGCAGGACACTCTGGCTCTGCCGTACCACTCGGACCAGGCGGTGGGAGGGTACGGAGCGCAGCCCGGCAGGTTTTACGCACAGACCCTGAGCAGTTGCCCGTACGGCGGCGTGCGGTCGCCGCCAAGAAGCGGAGCCGGGCAGGGTTATATCCCAGCGGCTGGAGACGGGTTTCCCACAGGGGGTAAAGACTTGTACTCTCCTTCTCCGGAGGCTTACCCAGCGAGCTTTCAGCACGGCTACCAGCGGCCGCCTCTCTACCCTTTACCTGGGCTACAGGTGTGCGGGAAGACTCAGGCTCTGCTCAATAACTACCCGCTGTGGGCCAAGTTCCACAAGTTCCAAACCGAGATGATAATCACCAAGCAAGGGAGGTGAGTCTAACAGACAACTCCAATTATTCTTATTTTTCCACACTCACAAAAATGCCCTCTCTTCGGGTCACATCTGGGTACAAAGGTTACAGAAACTACAAATTACGCACCGCTGTCCTTTTGGTTTTAAGCGCTTTCTTCTGAACCCACCACCGTCTTATCTCCATGATAAGCACCCACCGCTACATCTCACTCACTTCCTCCAATTTAACTTGAAAGATATTTTTTTCCAGAGAACTAAACAACACTTTACAGCCTCGTCATGCCGATCATCCAGAGGTCAGAGTTTACTCATCTTTTAGCGTCTGTTTACTTTGGAGGCATCACTGCCACACCACCTGTCAGGTGACGGAGGTGCCGGCATGCAGCTTTGTGGGTTTTTTTTGAGTTGATGGGAATGACCTCTGAAAATGTTTAACGCTTTGCTGCTTTTGCGCAAAATTGGTCAGAGCTGAGTCATAATTAGAGCAATAGAGACGAATCTGGGAAATGTGCTTACAGTAAGTTATTTAAAATGCATCTCATGGCTGGTGATGTAGGATTTAAAATACTTGAGTTAATAAAACAAACACTGTTTTTCTTTTTGCAAATTAAGTGGAGCAAGTCAATAATTTGCTTTGGGCCAAAGTTGTTGAGGAGCCAGAGAAAATATGAAGTGGAGCTGATATCAGTTGCAGGCTGAGTTGCTGGAAAACATTTTGACACCTCTGCTTGACCTCTAAAGACACCAGTCCCAACCAAGAGGGAATTCAAAGTCTAAAAGGAGGGAAAGCATTTTAAATTCACCTCTTTGTGGCGATAAAAGTGGACTTTTAGGCAGCATTTTGCAACACTGGCAGTTAAATTACTTTTCTTAAATTATTTATCGTCAAACATCTGTTAAAGCACCCTCCCTTTGTGTGATTTTAATATCAATAAAAGCGAAAAAAATCAAACTTTTAATGTCTTATCTCTACTCACACTGAGAGGGCTTAAGCAAACTTTTTCATAGTTACACCTCAACGCGATATCTGGGGTAGGCGGCTGTGGAAACGATGGCACTGAAATCGAGATTAAAACACGTCGAGCGTTTGGTGAGATCTTCTCGGAGCTGCTGACCGGAGAGCAGAGAGGAGGAGACGGCGCTGCCGGGCCCCTCTGACGGGTCACCGAGCATTAAGACGCAGTCATGTCGATGAGGATTAATTCACTAATACGCGACACTTGTGTTTGACAGAAGGTTTCGGGCCATCGCTTTCTCATGAGCCGGATCTGCGCACAGAACAAGCGCGCTGTCACATAATAGGACACTGATATTTCCACTTGCGACACGTCTTATTTGAATTTAAATTCTAATTAGAAATAATCTCATATTTAAACTTATTTTTGTGGTTGTTTTTACGCATTTTGAGTGCGTGTTTTTCTGGTGTTAAAACCGAGGGGATTCACAGTTTTAAACCAAGAATTTCAATTTGCCAGCTGCAGGTCACAGTCTTGCAAATGACTCCCCTTTGACCTGCTTGTTTCTTTACTTTCTGGTTGACTCCTGCAGGTACACCTGCTGTCAGGGTTATTCTAGGTGCACTTAAATTGTCTGTTGGCCTCTTTGAAGTTCAGTTTGTTGACATTTCTCTTTCCTTTTCTTTTAAACCTGAACACAAGAATTGCAAGTTGCTCTGTTTGCATGCATCACCTTACGGCATGATCATTTTAATCACGTGGATTATTTATGAAATTGACATTTTTGCACGAAGCACGTTTACTGGAAATTTTTGTGTGTGTGTAGTTTTTGTGAAACCAGAGAAAGTTTCAGGTAGTTTGTGCTGCAAATTGGTGTTTTCTTGTTATTTTTCTCCAAGTGTGTGTGTGTGTGTGTGTGTGTGTGTGTGTGTGTGTGTGTGTGTGTTTGACATAACTACGTCTGGCAGTTTGCTGTCCAGAAACACAGGTAATTAAAACACATGACATACTTTTATTTTAGAACATGTTGTTTCAGCTTCCCCTCTCTCTCTCTCTCTCTCTCTCTCTCTCTCTCTCTCTCTCTCTCTCTCTCTCTCACACACACACACACACACACACATTAACACACACACACACACACACACACACACACACACATTAACACACACACTTGTCAGACTTTTTTTGCACAAAAGTGTAAAAACTACCTGCAGTAACAAAAGGAATGGGCGCGGAGGTGTCATCCTTCCACATGTGACAAAGAGGCAAATTTTTCATGTTGTGCAAAAACCACAAACCTCACAAAATTTCAAAATGCTTTCCCTCCCTTTTATCTGAACCCTCACATGCAGAAGTGCAGATATCCAGCACATTAAGTGATGGAAGACTTTCTTTAAAAACAACAAAAAACTCCTGCAAGATTTTGGAGTTCAGCAGAGAAGCAGTACCAAGAATTTTTTTCAATATCAGAGGCGATATCCTTCTTAAATTTTCATCTTGGGTTCAGGCTGCTACAATAATTTCGCTGTGATTTTAGAGAGAAGTCTGAGGGTCTGCAATGTTAATCAAAACCTTGGTATCTATGGGAGAAAAAGGTGAAAGAAGCTCTAGAGGAAAAGTATAGAGAAGGGTCAAACACCACTGAGTCTTTAGATGGCCACGCTGAGAAGGTGAGGCACCTTTGAAGTTCAGGAAGTAAAAGACTAGATTCTCTTTTTTTTTTTTGCTGCTTTCTTCAGCCTGCACTAGACACCGGGTGCACAGCCCTGACAGATCTCTCAGAAGTTTTGCTCACATACCACACCTGGGGCTTTGAAATCTAGAGACATTTTCATGGCCTGTGGCAAAGGGGGCCGAATTCATCTGCACTTCTCATGAGCTAAATTCGGATCACCACACTGGTTGGGGCCATTTCAGGCTCTGCTGTTTGACTCATGCACCAAGGCAAAGTTCATTGAGGCTGCACACAGCAGGGCATCCAAGTCGATATAAACACTGTGTCAAAGGCGTGGGTTTACTTTCAACACCTGGGGGGACACATATGAAACTGGGGTTTGGGGTTCTCCCCCAGGAAATTTTGAGTGTCGAACACTTAAAGCAGTAGTTCATATTTTTTTAAGTGGGGTTGTGCGAGGTACAGGTGTTACATACAGTAGATGTCAATCAGCATGTCCCCAGTTCTACTGCTGTGGAGGGGTCGGCGGTAGACCAACAGCTCCTGTGTTCAGCGAGCTAGAATTACTGACTCAAACTCAATGGAGTCTGGTGACTTTGACAAGAGCATTGATAAGGAAATGAAGCAGTTAACAGCTCTCCCGTTGGAACGGACTGTGAAAATACTCCTAACATGGCATACACATAAACTTTTTTTAGGTGGCTAAAATATGTTTTGTTGCTGACCCCCACCCACAGCTGTACGCTGCTTAGCTTCCGTGTCAGACTCCAGCCTGCTTTCCCAAACTGGGGGCGTGCTGACTAACGTCTCTGCTGTATCTAATACACTGACTGTTGATAAGCACCTCATAGCCTACAACCCCACTTCAAAAAAAAATCCAAACTATCCCTTTAATCTCCTGCATTGTGGTGAATTTGTATGCAACAGTTTTTTGCTTTTCCCGCATCAGTGTATAGTGGTTTTTAATTCTGTCAAAATAAAAATCTAAGCCTGCGCACGGCGCATTTTCTGTTGTCAAAGAAGCTGAACAAATTAAAAATGAAAACAGCCAAAAGATGCTTTTAGATGGGATTTTTTGATAAAGTGAAAAAGGAAATAAAGTGACTAAGATTGAAAAGAGAAAGTGAAGCTTTTTTCCTCATTCATTTGTTTTACCAATAAGCTGATCCCACACCTGGGCTGTGTGCAGTCTGGATATGAGTCAAGAGGACAAACTTTTCCCTTCCATTGTTTCGAAGAAGCACATTCATACAAAGGGGACTTTTTCTGGAATTAAAAACAGTTGAATATTTTATTGCTGCCATAAAGACACATTTGTATTTGTACACCTGACATGTGCCTGAATGTGAGGAGATCTAAAGGCAGTTAATAACTCCCAAGTCATGCTCACAGAGTTCTGCATGATCATACTGTGCACTCTGTGTTCGAGGAAGGAGATAAGACTGACTAAGTTCTCACCACGCGGACACCCTTCAGAGAAATAATGCAGAGTAAAATTTGGACTCAGAGGAATCATGCTCATCTGCTTGCTCTGCTCCACTGAGTCCAAACTGTGACATGTATCAGTCTGATGTCTGGTAGTGTTTTTTAGAGAGGAAATAATCCTTCTGATTTATGTTGGCTCTGAAGAACTGAAGGTAGTTATTTACAGAGTTCTGCTATGAGTACAAGTTTAGCAGAAAAGCAGAATTGTTCACATAAATGGGGGATTTTATGTGGAACATATATTAGCACTTTAATCTCATAAAATAATTTAAATTAGGATGTAGTATTTTAAAATGTACCACAGCTGCTAAGTTAAGCCTACATGTATAGTCACTGAATATTTCTTTCCAAAGTAGGCATGTCATATTTTGGAAATTATCACCTTACACCACCAAGGGAAATATAGTGGGCGTCTTCTGTTGTGCCAGGCTGCAGACATCTCAGTACAGTGTAAAGCAGTAATGTGAGACACGTCAGTGAACAACTTTAAGGAGGATATTTCTTATCAAAGCACCACAAGTAGTAGTAGTTCTAAGGAATATATGGAAGCTTTGTGAATTAATTCTCGTTCTCTGTGTATCTGAAAGCAGAAGTGGGACTATTTCAAGGTTTTAAGAATATGACTTGTCACTTCCTGTTCAGCTGTTTATGTGTGCATATAGACAGCTTTTCGCAGAAACATCTAGTGCCAATATTTTCTGATAGCTAAACTTGTCCTTCCCCTTCCTGTGCAAATAGCCTCTTCTAATAATTGATTGGTGAAGTCCACCGCTGCTTGAGCCATAGGCCAGACTCTCTATATTTGGTTTCAGAGAGGGTTAATAAAAACACTGAGGCTGAGAGGACCTAAAAACACACTGCTAATTTGTTGTGTGATTATTGACATGCCTTTGTTCCCACA